TTCTCCGAGGCGAGCGACCGCATCACGGCGCAGCACCCGCCCGAGGCGCCGAAGATCCTCGGAGACTTCCGCCTGAAGGACATTGTCGTGCTGGCTGGGGAAAGTTTCAACCTGAGGGTGCCCTTCAGCGGATCGCCGATGCCCACCGCCGAGTGGAGCATCAACGGAAAGGTGGTCCTCCCTGATGAGCGGCTCTACTCGGAGGTGAACGCCGAGTTTACCATTCTGCTGAACAAGAAGGCGAAACGGGAGGATGGCGGCACGTACACGCTGAAGCTGACCAATCCGATTGGCTCCGACGCTGCCTCTTGTCGCGTCCTGGTGGTCGACGTTCCCGGAAAGCCGCAAGGACCTTTTGAGGCGTCGGACACTACACCAGAAACGATGTCCCTCAGCTGGCGGCCGCCGCTGGACGATGGCGGCTCGCCGATTACCAACTACGTGCTGGAGAAGCAGGACCAGGCCGGTTCGAAGCAGTGGGTCAAGTGCAGCGCCTTCATCCGCTCCTGTCACTTTGAGGTGATGGGCCTGGAGGCGAACCACCTTTATCACTTCCGGGTGCGTGCGGAGAACCAGTACGGCGGCGGGGAAGCGATTCAAACGGACAAACCAATCAAGGCCGCTTTCCCCTTCACAGTACCCGACCCACCAGGTCGACCCACGCCCACTGACACCGAGCGCAACAAGGTCCACCTCAGCTGGGACCGCCCCCTCAAGGACGGCGGCTCGAAGATCCAGGGGTACACGGTGGAGTACAAGGACCCCAGTGATGGCCGGTGGATGATCGGCAATGCGGAGCTGATCAAGGGCACCACCTTCACGGTGACCGGTCTGGTGAACGATCGCGAGTACGAGTTTAGGGTGAAGGCAAAGAACGCCGCCGGCTACTCGGTGCCCGGCCCCAGCTCGGGCCTGGTCAATCTGAAGGGCAAGCTGGGCGTTCCCTCGCCACCTCGAGACCTGCAGGTGGTGAAGATTGGCCGCAACTATGTGGATCTGAAGTGGGAGCCGCCGCTGAAGGATGGCGACTCACGGATTACCGGATACCTGGTGGAGCGACGCGAGGTGGCCGGCTCCCACTGGTACCGCGTGAACGACTATGGCGCTCTGGACTGTACCTACACGGTGCTCAATCTACCCGAACACTCCGAGTACGAGTTCCGCGTGTCGGCAATCAACGCCGCCGGCCAGTCGGAGCCCGTCTACACGTCGGCTCCGGTGAAGATCACCGAATTCGCCGGCGGCGCCAAGCCTGAATTTGTCCGAAAACTCTTCACCAAGTCGACCAACCTCCACACGGAGATTACCTTTGAGTGTGAGGCGATTGGCAAGCCGCTGCCGCACGCGCGCTGGTTCAAGAACGGTCGCGAGATTACCGCCGGTTTCGGCGGCCAGGGCCGCTTCAAGACGCTCGAAACGGACGAGGGCGTCTTTAAGCTGGTCATACTGGACATTCAGGAGGGCGACGAGGGCGACTACACCTGCGAGGCGTACAACACCTTTGGGGCGGACCGAACGACCGCTCCGCTACGGTTGGCCGCCGCACCGGAGATTACCCGCTGCCCGCCGGAGGTGTTCCTCACCGAAGCGGACAATGGCAAGATCAAGATCCACTACAGCGGATCGTCGCCTTTTGAGGTGACGATCACCAAGTCGGGCTCGGGCCCCCTCTCCGAGGAGGGCGACGGCCACGTGAAGTACACCGTCTTCGACGAGTACGCGGTGGTGTACATTGCCGAGGTACGGAAGGGCGACGAGGGCGCCTACGCCATCACCGTGAAGAACGACAGCGGCCAGGCGTCGGCCAACTTTACCGTCGTGGTTACCGGCCTGCCCGGCCCGCCTACCGGCCCCCTGGAGGTGGGCGAGGTGACGCGAAACACCGTTTCCCTCCATTGGAAGCCCCCTAAATCGGATGGCGGCCGAAAGGTGACCCACTACGTGGTGGAGCGAAAGGAGGTCGGAAGTGGTGGAACGAACAACTGGATCACCGCCTCAAGCGTCGTCCGCGAGTGCTCCTTCACGGTGCAGGGACTGACCGAGGGCGGGGAGTACCTCTTCCGGGTGTTTGCCGTCAACGAGAATGGCCAATCGGCCTCGGCGCTGGAGGGCGAGAATCCCGTCACGCCGAAGCTGCCATTTGACCCACCGTCGGCGCCTGGCGTACCGGAGGTGACCGCTGTTGGAGGGGACTTTGTGAACCTCAGCTGGAGCAAGCCGGAGTCGGATGGCGGCGCCCGCATTCAGGGCTACTATGTGGAGAAGCGCGAGCCGGGCAGTGGCCATTGGCAGCGGGTCAACCTGGCGCTGGTGCACGCCACGCAGATCAACATTGCCCACCTGATTGAGGATCGCGAGTACGAGTTCAGGGTCTTTGCGGTGAATGAGGCCGGCCAGTCGCCGCCTTCAGAGGCGAGCCGACCGATCAGGGTCAAGGACCCCGACGTGGCCGTGCCGCCGGAGTTTATCGAGCCGCTGAGAACGGTGCACGCAGTTGAGAATCGAAACGCGGAGTTCCGCTGCACTGTGACCGGTGTGCCGAAGCCGACCATCACCTGGTACAAGGGCGTTCGGGAGCTGTTTGACGGGGGCAAGTTTACCATGCTCCGCGACGGCGACAGCTACATTCTCAAGATCAACGGCGTCTACGGAGAGGACGCCGATGAGTACTCGGTGAAGGCGACCAATAAGGCCGGAACGCGATCGAGCCGCGCCGAGCTGATCATCAAGACGGCGCCGAAGATTTACGTCCCGCCGAGATTTAGGGAGGCGGCCTGCTTTGAACGGGGTGAGAACGTCGCCCTGAAGATTCCCTTCAGCGGCAACCCACGGCCGAAGATCACCTGGACAAAGGACGGCGAGGTGGTGGAGGCCGGGGAGCACTTTGGCCTGGAGGTGAAGGAGCGCCACGCGACGCTGACTATTCGAAACGCCTCCATGGAGGACAACGGCCCCTACACGATCACGGCGGAGAATGAGCTCGGCGTCGATGTGGCCGTCATCAACGTGATGATCAGCGACCGACCCGATCCACCCCGGTTCCCCATCATCGAATCGGTGGGCGAGGAGACGGTCAATCTGAGCTGGAAGGCCCCGCTGTGGAACGGCGGCTCTCAGATCACCAACTATGTGATTGAGAAGCGCGAGGTGGGCATGCAGAGCTGGGTGCGGGCGGCGAACACCCGCTTCCTCCTCCACCAGATCCAGAACCTGGCCCCCGGAAAGGAGTACGAGTTCCGCGTCCTGGCGGAGAACGTCTACGGCCGCTCGGAACCGTCGGAGAAGACCTCGAAGGTTCTGATCAAGGGCAAGGGCGGCGACCGCCTGAAGCGGACGCCCTGGGAGGTGGACGAGCAGGGCCGGAAGGTCCGAGGAAGGGGTGAGAAGCAGGCGAACTACGACCAGTTTGTCTCCGACTACGACGGAACCTTTGCCATGGCGGTCGACGTGAAAGCGAACCAGTCGGTCTACGACTATTACGAGATTCTGGAGGAGATTGGCGTGGGGGCGTTCGGCGTGGTGCACCGCTGTCGGGAGAAGAAGAGCGGCCGCATCTTTGCCGCCAAGTTCATCCCGGTGTCGCATCCGACGGAGAAGGCGCTGATCAGGAAGGAGATTGACATCATGAATCAGCTGCACCACGTGAAGCTGATTCGCCTGCATGACGCCTTTGAGGAGGACGATGAGATGGTGCTCATCTACGAGTTTATGTCCGGTGGGGAGCTCTTTGAGCGGATCACCGATGAAAACTACCGCATGACCGAGGCGGAGGCGGCCAACTTTATGCGGCAGATCATCGAGGGCATCCGCCACATGCACGAGCGAAACATCATCCACCTGGACATTAAGCCGGAGAATATCATGTGCCAGAAGCGCAGTAGCAACCTGGTGAAGATCATCGACTTTGGCCTGGCCACGAAGCTGGACCCGCATGAGATTGTGAAGATCAGCACCGGCACGGCGGAGTTTGCCGCGCCGGAGATTGTCGAGCGCGAGGCTGTGGGCTTCTACACTGACATGTGGGCCTGTGGTGTGCTGACCTACGTACTTCTGAGCGGCCTGACACCGTTTGCCGGCGAAAATGACATTGAGACGCTGAAGAACGTGAAGNTTGTGGAGTGCTGACCTACGTACTCCTCAGCGGCCTGACACCGTTTGCCGGCGAAAATGACATTGAGACGCTGAAGAACGTGAAGGCCTGCTCCTGGGACTTTGACCAGGGCGCCTTTGCTGGGATCAGCGACGAGGCGAAGGACTTCATTCGAAAGCTGCTGACGAAGGAGAAGGAAAAGCGCATGACGGCCCACGAGTGCCTGGAGCACCCGTGGCTGAAGAAGCTCGCTGAGGAGGCGCTCAGTCAGGAGCAGATCAGCGGTCGCAAGTACATTGACATTCGCGACCGCATCAGGGCGAAGTACCCCAGCTGGGACCGGGCACTGGTGCCCATTGGTCACATTGCCAACTACAGCTCGCTGCGGAAGTTGCAGGATGAGAAGTACAGCATGGCCGATTACTTCCTGGACCGACGGGAGGCGCTGCCGCGGTTTGTTTTGAAGCCACAGTCGACCATCGCCTACGAGGGCCAGTCGGCGAAGTTCACCTGTCGGGTGATTGCCGCGGCGCCGCCCACCCTCAGCTGGTACCACGAGGGCTCGGAGCTGAAGCAGTCGGTGAAGTTTATGAAGCGATACGCGGAGAATGACTACGCCTTCACCATCAATCGCTGTAAGCTGGAGGACCGGGGCGAGTACATGATCCGCGCGGAGAACCATTATGGAAGCCGGGAGGAGCCGGTCTTCCTCAATGTGCTTCCCCTGCCCAAAGATGACTACCGACCGGCGGTGGAGGAGCCGAGGAGGAGGCGGGAGCCCCTGCCGACCTTTAAGGTAGGAGGAGGTTTTGGGCATAATTTTAAGGGGATTTTATTAATTGGTTAATTAATTCTTTGCTATCTTTTTTCAATAGTTGGACGAACCCGCCGACCGCGCGCCCTTCTTCACCTTTATGCTCCGAACGCGAATCATCCAAATGGGCATCGGCGTCCGCCTCCTTTGCTGCCTGGAGGGCAAACCCTGGCCCACCATTCGCTGGCTGAAGGACGGCCGCGAGCTGGGCAAGTCAGAGTACAACATGACCGCTAAGGATGGCGTCGTCACGCTGGACATCACCGGCTGCCGACTGGAGGACGCCGGCAAGTACACCTGCATCGCCTCCAATCACCTCGGCTCCACCGAGACCAGCTGCTCGGTGATTGTCGAGGCGAAGCGGGCGGTTAGCCCGTCGCCGGCGAGGTCCGGCTCACCTGCTGCTGGTTCACGGATAGGCACACCACTGCCGCCGTACATCAGCTCGGTGCCCACTCCGCTGGAGGCGTACTACAGCAGCGGCGGCGCCAGTACGGTGATTCGCGAGGCACGGGCCAGCTCGGTGATGAACACTCGATCGGCCAGTTCGGCCCGTCGCGACTCGATCAGCAGTCTGCTGGAGCGCAGCTCAGTGGCCTCCAGCTCAAGTCACCACCATCGAACCAGTCACTACCAGCACCAGTCGTCGTACACAAGTTCGATCAAGGCGAGCGACCGGTACTCCTCGGCGAGGACCACCTC